AAACGAAAGCCCACCGTGTCAAATGGGGACAGGAATGGGTGTCTTGTCTTTTCTCTTGTCGCTCGATCCTTACTGCAGAAAGGGGTACTTCAAACTCTAAGTGGGGGGGGCTTCGCACGTGCTTTAATTCCCTCTCGATCCTTCATTTAGTTCAAATTTAATCTCAAATGTAAAGTACAGAGAGAGAGAGAGAGAGAGAGAGAGAGTAATTTCGTACCGCTACAAGGAAATACGAAAACTTCGTATCACGAGCATTAACATTATTACATATCACATTATTACATATCACATTATTACATATCACTAAGTTTAAAAACACTTAGCAATTCATTTCCTTTCCGTAGAGATATATAGTTTGACCAATTTCCCTTGTTATTTGCAGTTTTGAAAGTTTGCCAACATAGGATACTCCTGGCTGTCAGAATCACGTGTTGAATGCCCTTCCCTAAGTGCATATATATATCATAGTTACAGTCCCGCTCGCTCGGTGGCAGCACGTTACAAGCATTTGTACCTGGAAATATATTCGTATAATGTATTGGGAATTAAAGATAGTTATCGGATGGTCAAAAATGAAAGTAGTGAAATCTGTAGTGTTGTCGTACTTAAAACATGGAAATAATTTTTCTAATAACAAAATCTTCTGTTGGGATTAGATAACATTATTGATAGTTGGAAGTAAAATGCAAACGCCGGTGTTTTTCGCCCTCGGTTCACACCATTTTAGGTTGAAAATATTATTTCTTTAATATTAAAATGGTCATTTTCAGCATCAACATACAAGTACGTAACAATACAAAACGCAATTAATAATATTTAATCACAAACAGATCGTAACTCGATACAGCATGCATAGGATAGAGACCTTGAAAGTGTAGAAGCGTCATAGAATAAGTAGAATTAATTAGATTTCCCTGGATGCAATAAATCTTTATCATTATTATACGCACAAAAAATGCACGCTTATAAAACTTTATCAGCATCAACCCAAACATTTTATAAGATAAGGGCTTCAAAAGTAGTGAAAAATTAACATGGAATTTTTTTATCATGGAGACAATGTAACGCGGAACGTCAACTCTAAGCTCTTTCAACTCGATATCATGTTTTAGCAACCAAAACCTGGTCCCAACAAGGTACAAGATATCCCTTAGGCCACGTGACAACTCCTGTCATCCTCGACGTGCTTTCTGATAGACGGTGGATTTTTTTGTCTAAATGCGCTACATGGCTTGTCTTACAAATGTTAAAACACTAATTATAATCCACGCAGAAAAATACGGGTACATGTGTTGCAAGTTGCGAGTCCTCTTCGACCCGAGGTACAAAGCCCAACCAGGAAGAAGTTAGGACATTCTTTTGGTTCTGTCATAGAAGACATTATGCTTAGTAAACTAATACAAAAACTGATTAGATAAGGTTTTGAAAGCTCAAGAATAATGACACCTTACCTGGTACTATGATCGCGTGAATCAGCAATGCAAACAAGCTACATGGTCCCCTCATATGATTTATAACCAATGCTTATACAGAGGGGACTGCCAAGAGCCGGATGCTCGATTTTTTACTCGTTTTTTAAGGGTGATAAAAAGCCTTATCAGCAAGATGTATTAGGTTAGACGGCGTAACTTGGTAGGAGGAGAAGTACATAAGTCTACGCGAGGAGTCGGAGCAACGCCAGCGATTTTGTGCAACAGGTGAGTTAAATAGTGTTTGTGTGTAGAGGCCCACGGAAAGAAGTACACGAGGTTTGACGTTACATGTACCTGTTCAGTTGTCTTGGATATTAACACAGTTTCGCACATCCAGTACTATACGTGAGTTTTTGTTTTTCGGATATGTTCAGTAAAGGTGGAATGTGAACCAATAAGTATATTAATTAAGCACGTGTCTTCTCCATCCTTTTAGGGATAGTCTGCCCAACTGGATTTGCATAAACGCTATATTTCAGTGGTAGGTGGCTGTAGACTGTCTTTATAAATCTGCCTATATGTGTACATTGCATTTTGTTATCTTTATTGTCATAAGTCTATCAATGTTTTATTTGGGCCAGCGCGTCTTTAAATCTGTGATGGAAATCGAGATAATTAAATGTTAGTTCCAGTGGTGGATTTAGAGGGGGGTCAGGGGGGTCCTGACCCCCCCCCCTCGATTTCTGGTCTCCTCTTAAAATTAGAATTTTTACTACCAAATTATAGTTTTAAACCGTACCAAATGCCACCGTTTGCTCTCTAAAATACCAAAATTTCCGGGGCCCTTCAGCGGGTCCTGAACCTCACCCCAAGTGTGTGTGTGTGTGTGGAGGGGGGGGGGGGGGGGCAGAGAAGGGTCTGCTTTGCATCTGCGCCCCCCCCTCTTCAAATAATCCTGGATCCGCCCCTGAGTTCTCTTCTATTTGGCAGTACTGACACGTTCTTTTTCGGTCACATAAATTACATCATATTTTCTTTTTTCCAGTTCAAAGAACATTAAGGATCCTGGAAAAAAGTGTGAAAAAGTTAATGAAGACAGGTTCTCGCAATGAACTCAAGTGATATCGCTGAATGCTATCTTTGGCAAAACAATGCGACTTTTGATGCCACAGAGGAGCTGCAGTATCAGATAAGTACGTGGCTTAACAAGACTGTGCCACCGATTTTGCTGATAATCGGCACACTTGGCAATATCCTGTCTTATCTGGTTTTACGACGCCCCTTCATGCGGAGGACGTGGATAGGTTTCTTTTTACGAGCGTTAGCCGTGACCGACACCTTTGCACTTTGGCTGGGACTATCTCGTCACATGATCAGAGTGTATGGTTATTTCGATATACGAGAAGCGCATGCTGCTGTGTGTAAACTACATCGGTTTACTTTGTACTTCTTCCTGGATATGTCAACTTGGCTGCTCGTTGGATTAACAGTAGGGCGGTACATTTCAACATGCCATATTTTACAATCCTACAGACTGTGCTCAACCAAAAGAGCTCGAATTGCGTTAGCGGTGATCGTCGGATGCGTTTTTGCTAAGAACGCACACGTGCTGGTTACCGTTGACATAAACGTTGACGCATTAACGGGTGAACGCCATTGCAACCATTATTGCGACTCCGACCATCATAATTTTTGGAAGTATATCTACCCGTGGATAACTTTTTGTGTGTACGCCGCCGGCCCGTTCGCTGTCATGATTGTTCTAAATATATTGATTGTTCGTTCACTGCGGAGATCGACGCGATTCCAACTTCGCTCTACTCGCAATTCGGCCTATTACCAAAACAATAATGATCCCCCATCCACTTCGCCCCTTAGTGTAAATTCCTTCAATAACAACAATCACCCACTGGAAGTGACAGATGATACAACTTCAGGATCGCAACCTGCAAGGATTGCTGAGTCGCCTAGAAAGGGACATTTTAGGCGCCATTCAAGACCAACCCAAATGGACAACATAGCAGATGACCACAACTCAGCGACACATAAATCGCCAGCCCAAGAACAAAATCGTGAGACAGAAAGACTCTCTCGTCAAGGTTCCAACATAGTGAGACAAAGGAGGGGCGTTAACAGTAACCAGCATGCTTTCGCATCTAGATCCATCACAGTGATGTTATTTGTTGTGACCATTATTTTTTTGATCTTGGCGACGCCGAGTTTTATCAACCTTATCATAGAACCATACCAACACATTAACAGCTCACGCCAGAAAGCAACACAGCGATTAACTTCGACGATCGTTTTGATGCTCAACTATTCGAACCACACGATTAACTTCTTGCTCTACTGTGTTAGCGGAAGGAGATTCCGAAACGAATTCCTTCGAATGCTTAGACGTAATGCCGGCCGGAGGTTCGAATCGAATTTTGGAAGCAGCCGTGGGAGTATTAGTCAGTCGCAAGTTATCCCAGACCCAGCTGCTACAAGAAATGAAAACGGACGTGAGAGAAATCAGGAAAATGCTGTCACTGCAGAAACGCGTTTCTGAACTAAGCTTTGAATCCAGACACTGGATGGCAAGGTTTTTCTAATCGACTCAACATCTATGCAAGATTGACTGGCCATTCGAACGAAGTCCAAACGTTGTCTGTACTTATCTTGTTTGGGGCCTACTTCACCACGGTAAAATATTTTTACGACCTACAGTGATAGCCAATTGCGTAAATTTGTAATCGAACATGTTACAGAATAAACTTGCATAATATGCTTTTCCGCTTGTTCGTGACCCATGCACAGAAATATGTGAATTTGAAAAGTACTTCACAAGAAGGAAGAATTCTGTAAACGCAAAATTTAAAAATACGCATAAACGCAAATGTGTCGAATTGATAAAACCAGGTATCAGAAAAAGAAAAGACATTATTTTTTCGACAATCACCGTTGTACACATACATGTAGAATTGAACAGAAAAATTTTTAAAATGCTTAGTTGTATAATCACTTAGGAGTATGTAGATAGCTGAAAACGAGGTCTTCACGAGGAGATGTGTCACTGCATCTTATTAAAACGCTCAATCGGTGTTGGGTATGTAGCTCATGTTTTACCCAATTTAAGCCGATTATAGCAATCTCAATAATAAATAGGACTAGTTTGTTTTTCGCTAGCTTAGCTGAGCCGTTAAAGGCTTACCCTGTCACTGTGGGAAAGCACTGTCTTGTGCTGTATAATCTGTTCAGATCAATATTTTTTTAAATTAACATTCATATTCGTTTATTCAATGTTTCTCCAGTATACATGCAAAGTGGCTTTAAAAATGTAGCTTTTAACTTCCATCATTAGATCTGAGTATTCCATTTTTTAGACTTGAATACAACTTTTCTCGCATTATAATCAAAGTAGCAAAGATACGAGAGACTACATGTACAATGATTATAAATATGTAGTTTTAATGAATTCTGAAATTAAAGAAAGAATTAATCATTTGATACAAGTTATTTTTCCTTCTCAAGTCCTGATGCCCATGATCAAATTATAGTGCTGTAAGCATATCCTCTACCCGGGCCGCATAGTATATATTGCATATATGTGGAATTTTTCTCTGACGCGACAGTGCAGAGAAGAACGGTCAATTTAACCAGGGTCATTATCTGTGAATATCCAGAGAAAAATCAATCTGTGGTCCTGGTAGAGGGTACTGTAAGTACATGTACGGCGAATGCCTTTAAGATGTTAAAAACAAGTTCGTGTAAATGTCAAAACATACCACGGACGTTCACATCTGTTTTTAGTCGTCAAGAAAAACGAGTTTTGAAGTGCTGACACAACTAACAACTGTAAGAGGAAGCAGGATAAGTGTCCCACTCCACTCTCTATCCATTATTATTTATATGAAAGAATTATTAAATATCCCGAGATTGCATCATATTTTCTTCGGTGTACTTTAGGTGTTGAGGGTGGGGGGCCAAATATTGATCCCATAGAATGGGACCCAAAACACATGCCATTTGATTTTTTTTATATTTTCAAACCGTTTTATAAATAGTAACTGCATGTTTGGACACAGCATGGAAATCGGAAGGTTGATTAAAAAAGACACATATTCACATACTGGCGACCCATTTAAGGGGCGTCGCCTGTCGGTATTAAATGAAGTAACGCCCAAAGTTCACACCTTCGATCGCCACTCTCTCTCTCTCTCTCTCTCTCTCTCTCTCTCTCTCTGCTCTTTACTCTGCACTCAGTCGTCACTGCTCAATGTAAACCCCAGCCGTTTTTCATTTATGCATACACCGTATGTCGATTTCATAATAATAATAACAACTACCACTCATGTCACGCATGTGTCCTCCGGCTCTTAAAAGAGGCCTCTTAAGTAATCACCCTTTGCACGCGGTAGAAAACAGACCCCGCAATCCGATAAGGTAAGAAACATTGCAATATAAACGCCACTTGATGTTTTCTCATTAATTTATCACCCTCTTAAAGGTAACAGTAATACCCTGAATAGGGCGACCTGTCTAGTTTACTAAAGCCTAAGCTGACATAAGGACAGAGAAACGTACACAGTTACTGCGATGAACTGATATGATTCAATGTGTAGTGAAGTGTGATTTCCGACCGTGGTGTGTTTAGCTTTGTCACTGTGGTAGACGTGGGACCTTCTACCATAATAGACAGTGCAGTGTGACATTCATATAAACTTTGGGGGACGACTAGCTTGACCGTTGAGGACATCACCGCATTATTTGTGCTCGTTTTAAGACGACTTTTATGACTGGATGCGTAGTATTCGTTTATTCAGCTACAGGGAATTAATATGGTGAGGTGAGAAGCACAGATGTCGTTTTGTGTACATATAATTACCGTATTTAACGACGCTTAAGACCGACCTTGATATTGAAATAATAAGGCAGGTCATTGCTTGTTAGCGTATCTGATGCGGATGCCACTCTCTCTCTCTCTCTCTCTCTCTCTCTCTCTCTCTCTCTCTCTCTCTCTCTCTCTCTCTCTCAGCCATACCTTCACTTGGACCTACCAATGCATTATTCATTTCGTATTAACTTAATTTAAGAGATTAACACCTCTCAGCCTGCATCAACATTTAATAATCTGAATAATGGCCCCTGGTCCCTTTGCATTAATTAGCCTTGAAACATTATTAATTTAACACCATATACAGCGCTTGTCTCTGCATGCCCGTGTGCTTTAATGACTAATTTAAGTGCTCTAATATCACACGCCACTAATAATTCATATGATTGTGGTCTCCCCACCGTGTACTAGTACAACGTACCTCATAGATATAAAACTGGGAAGCATTCATAAAGTTATTAACCTCTCGTTCGACCTGGACTTGAATGGTGTGTGTGACGTATAAAACTTGTGCTTTCAAACAAAGGAAAAGGGATTGGGACTCCTCAAGAAACGACCTTCTATTATTAGACCGGTCAGTCCCCAGTTTGTAACTTGAATGTGTCGCTTTGACAGTCCCATTGGTAGATAAAGCCTCAGGTGAGTACTTGTACATTATGTACTGGTAGATGTTTACGCTTGTGCAGTGAATGTGTACTAGTAGGTCTATGTCATTTTAAAATCATTTTAAGGAACGCTGCGAGGTTAAGGTTAAGGTTAAGGTGTTCCATGTTAGATGTTCCATGTTAAGTCAACAAGGCTATAAGCGGTATGTTACTCCACGATGTCATGAAAAAGTGGGTCGTTTACAGGTAGGCGGATTATAGTTTTGAAAGAAAGAATGATCTGAACAGCCATTATGTACAGTGTACAGCGATGTTCCTGAGAGAGAGAGAGAGAGAGAGAGAGAGAGAGAGAGAGAGAGAGAGAGATTCTGAGTAAAAAGGAGGAGAGAGAGCAGATGAGAGGAAGAGTCCTTGAGAGAGAGAGAGAGAGAGAGAGAGAGAGAGAGAGAGAGAGAGACGACTGGAGAGAGAGTTTGGAATTAGAAAACGAATGGACGTTTGGGGGGGGGGGGGGGGGAGGCAGGCTAAGGGAAGAAGGGAGAGCTGCCAAACAAGCCCATGGTCACAAGACTCCAAAACTAAAATTAAAATTAATACTGCCTTTATCAGCTAATGTCTCTCTTCACAATGGGTATGTGACAAACCACAGCTACAGTAGATGTTACTCGTGCTCCGGAAATATCCTACTCTGCCAATTTTACTAAATTAAAATACGAATAATTGCGATTCATTCGTTGTTTTCGTTCCGGCCAGTTACAGGATTGGGGCATTGAGAGCACGTCTAGTAGAAGCCTTAAGGGGTATGTATTCTGTACATGTAGGCTATACCTCTGCGTGCAAACCCGATATTAGCATGGCCCAAATTATGGACCAAACAGCCCAATTATATAATCGTACTTTACGAAAAAATGCAACTGATACGGAGTTCCGTATATACTGTGTGTAGGAATGTGATCTAGGTGTAGTCAAATATGCGTGGTGTTCGTCATGTCATTCAGTTTTGTATGTCGAATCATTCTAGATTTAGGACATGCTCATTTAGGAGCATGTATGGTAAAAGACAGTAGGCATAAATACATGTTCACTTAGAGCACAACTGACTTCTACTAGGAACTGGATAGCAGTAAAGGGAGGGAGGCTTTTTAGGTCCCTGTCGTAAAGAAAGTGACAGTCCGCATAACAGAGGTACCGCTTCCCCTTAGATTCATACAGGTTAGGGTTAACTTGACGTTAGTGGGTCAAAATCCAGTCCGGGGCTTATATATACAAATGAATTGGAACAGGATCTTTTATCGGGGGGACCCTCTGGTACATAACGCCGTTGAACTACAGTATCTATGACATCTGTCTAGCAAAGAAGATATGTTTTAGTTTATCCAATCTCAGCAGACAGGTTTAAAAGAAGCCACCTATTTAAACATGCAATTATTTCATGCCTAGCTGTCGCCCGTAAAATACCTTGATTACCCGTATAACGAGACGACATGTATTTCATGAACAATAGTAAATTTCAAACTGCTGTATCTCATGGTAAATTTATTGAATGACTGTGACATTTACTGAATACCAGTTTACGCCTGATATACACCCGTTACCACAAACACAGGTTCGAATTGATTTTCACGGGAGACTAGTTTATTGCGTGGGCGTGAAGAACGAGACACATATATAAGGGAGGGTCACAAAATAACGGGCTGGGCTTGTAAAATATTCATCTGAAGTGAACAGCAAATAATTCGGATTTTCTTATTTGTATGGCGTGTATTTTATCACCGTAGGTTGGCGTTTTATGGTTACTTAACGAGAGAAAGAAAACCAATCAGAATATACCAATAGCATTGCATGCGTTAGTTCATTTGGCTTATATCAATTTTAAATTTCTTTTTGAACGATCATTTTTTAAATCGGTATAATTCACGGGTTTATTGTTTGTTTGTCCTTGTGATAAAAAGTAGAAACAGGTGTAACCAGTCTGTTGATTTACAGTATTTATCATAAAACGTAAAAGATATCTGTAAGATGTTAATGCGGGCCTGTGTTCAGTGCGACATGAACGTCACGAAGATGCAGACGAAGATGGTGGCAGTGCTTTGACATTGCTTAAACATTGTTTAAAAGACGTAAAATAAAATGGTTTACGAGAAATAATTTTAAAATTATAATTGTCTAAATGGGAAAATACGAACAGACCTGTACAGGGTAAAATAGACGATGATATTCCCCCCCACCCCTACCCCCCGGATAACGTCCTGCAGAGAAAAAATAGGGAATAGAAAACCTTAGAGAAAGAGAGAGAGAGCGAGAGAGAGAGAACGTTGAGTGTTAAAAGTGGCTGCTCGAGGTCAGAGGGCTTCATGAGGCCATATCTAACCTCGGCGCGTGGGTGCTCGCCCTTGGAACATTTGTTATAACCAGTCCGGTTAACCTGGCCGCCAACGGTAGCGCCAATATTTTACCGTAATACATCTCCTTTAACGCTATAGCTTTGTGAGATACGATCTCTAAGTATCGTTTATTTAGATATATTTTTAGGCGTGTTCAATTATTCAAAATAAAATGTGGACGCCGTGTTGACCCTTAAGCCCATTTTCTAGTATGAATCAGTTTTTTGAAAACATGGTAGGAGTATTTTAGCCAGTTTGTTACATTCAAATGTGTCGAATGTCTGGTTATGGTGCGAAATGGCTATAAAAATAAGATATATAACAAATAGAAGGGGACCGAACTAAAAGATTTGACCTCTTTTCCATTTTTGTTCTGGTAAGGATTAACCAATGCAGTGTTTTTTCATTGGTTTTCTAATTATCACTTGTGGTAAATTGCCTACAAATAGCCGTTGAATGTTGCAGCAATATTTAGGTGAACAGCTGTAATAAGAATTAGACTAACTTTACAAAGAAAACGAAGTGTGTTGGGGTGTTTGCTCTGATGTAAATGTATCTAAATCTGTGGCGGACCATTTAGTCTCCTCATCAGTGAATAATATAAATAATCAAAAATAATAATAAAAATGATTAATCATATTTTATATAATTGTTTTCCTATATTCGCTGCACCTCCTATAGATAAATATTGAAGAGAATGGATAATAAGACTAAATTAAGATTACCAAATTTATTAGTCTTACTACAGAATGTTCATTAGTTCAGTACTTGTGCCATGTCCTCCTAGAAGATAAGCGACGGGAGAGGGGGCATGGGAGCTCATTTTTTCAGCCAGCGTAATCATATACATATATATAATATAAGCACAGGAAACAGGGAAGATTAGGGGAATCCACACTAGCTAGCTCCCTCACTTAAATCTTGTTTTCTACGCACCTGTAATATGATGATGACCTGGTTATAAAACGGTAAGTATCGGGGAAACGTATCTATGTCTGTGATATTTCATGACTGTCTTTACACGAAGAAAAAATTCGAAAATCTAACGCACATTGATACTTTTGATTCAACTGCAACATTTTGTCGTACATGCAGCACAGCAACCACAATCCACCGCTCAGTTTCTCTTAGTTTGTTGATTCACTCCCCCCCCCCACACACACACACATACATTTCTCACGAACAATTTAGCATTGGATGACAAAGAAAACTGGTGTGTTTCCCAAGTAAAGTTAGATACTCCCTGTCTTATGACAGTAATTTTTGATAAATCGTTTTAATATAGACAATGCGTTGTCCTCGTTATCAATGTGACCCAGACAAGACAGCAAGTAAATACTCGTAATTTAATATAATCCGCCCCTGATTTATGGCTTCGTTCCACCTTTTCGATAACAATGTCACTGCTACATCTGCCAACAACGTTAAGCATTGTTAGCAGCTTTTAAATAATATTACTGGTACGTTTAATAGACAAATTCTGAACATAAAAAGAAGGGGGAAAGTTAATTAGCCGCAAATCGAAATAATGTGAGAGGGCCCCTTGTTCACTACCTTTGTGAAAAATCACATTTATAATTATTGGTATTATTATTATTTTATTTATCTTAATTTTTTTATTTATTTTATTCAATCTTATTTTGTATATTATTTAAGTTAAAGAAGTAAAATTGACCCATTTTCAGGCTTAAAATGTGGGAACTGCAGTTAATTTTAGTAGCATTTAGCTTCTTAAAAACAGATCTCTTTATTTTTTTCCTTGAAGGAGTTTAAGTGTGATGTTAACTCCCACGTGCAGAATTAAGAGTGTGTTAATAGATGACGAAAGAGGATGTTTGGAACAACTCAATTGTCACATCTGTAGAACCATTAATGATGCTCGCCTTTGATAATAACAGGAAACGATATGTTCTTCGTGTCATATCGGAAATACAACATCTGTGAAAAGCGACAGAATGAGATGAAAGCAGTTATGACAAACAACACTTCAGTATCTGGTACAATTTTGTACAGCGTTTACACCGGTTTTATTCTCGCGCTAGTTTTTAATGAAGAGGACGTAAACGTTTCAAGTTATATTGACTGTAACTTGTATATATTCATACATCGAGGTGGATGCCTACGAAAACAATTTACAATGAAATTACCGCACCCTCTTTGGTATGTTTATTTGTTAACTTTTTTTTTTTTTTTTTTTGTAAATTATAACAGGAATGAAGCCGAGAAGTGGGTGATTCAGTTATAGCCTTATCACCACAGTAACGGGCGTAGCTTTTTTTTTTTTTTTTTTTTTTTGCGAAAAAGGTTTATCTGTCAGTTCCGGCTTGAAAGAAGCAAGCCAGGGCAATATTTAGTGTAGGCCTACGAAAGGGCGAATATCACCACAGTGAGTCTTCCATATAGAGGATGAAAGAAACGCATGCCTTATTGGATCAGTTAATTCTTTCGTTCTAAGAATTTACTGATAAAAAACAAACTATTTACACAACAAATATTGCCTTATTTACACAAGAACATGGGAGCGTGTTTTAGGGCTATTGCTTGTTGTAAGTACAGCCCCATAAAAAACTGAACGGACACATCTTTTTTTATCTTTAGCAGCTTTTGATGATTATGGCATTAATAAGTAAGGAAAACAAACGCTTTCTCA